TACTATGAGACTGAAACATATTTTTAGTTAACTCAAAAAGTTAATCCTTGGCTATTAGTTGAAAATGAAATTTTAAATTACTTGTTTATGAGACTGAGGACACAGGATGGCTTTAAAAATCTTCTGAGTTCCAGGACTCACTGGGTGCAATGATTTTCTTAGATATTGTACATTTGGAAAGCCACCAAGGTAAAGTGTCAGTAACTAGACTAAGGGGGCAGGTAATGGGAATGACCTTTACCACGTGTTAGGTGTTCCAGTAAGCCCTGTGCAGAGGTCATCTGAATTAACCTCACAGTTCTCCTGAGACAACAGTACTAACAGTTATCACCTCATTGCTGAGGAGGAAGATGAGGCTGGGGAGGGGGGAGAAAGTTCCCCGTGGACGCCCAGCAGCAGGAACCCAGGAAGGGGGTCTGGCCTGGGAGCCTGAGTGCCCTGTCCGAATGCTCCCATTTCCTGAAAAGAAGCTACTGCAAAAGCCAAGTGGAGCTGATCTAATTCCCAAGACAGGTCACCACCCGCCTCTCCAGGGAAGCCATGGAGGCACTCGGAGTTCAGTTCTGCCTTCCATGAAATAAAGACCTTGAAGAACGGCCGCATCCCACAAAGCCCCTGTGAGCTCTCACATTACATTATCATAAAATGGAGCAGCTGCATATGATTAGTAAAAGGACCTTTTAAACTAGCTGTAGGGAGTCTGAGATTTACCACTAACTTTTTATGATTGGTGACAAGTCATTTAACCTCCCCAGTTATTATCTGCCTCATTTCAGGCCTTACTTTCAATATATAAGTCAAAAAGCGCTTCAAAAAGTGTAACAGGGGCCATAAATACAAAGGACTATGCCATCATCTCAAATAAATTTTTCTTATAACATTGAAATTATGGACGTAAGGAAGTGTGCTAAATTGACTTCTCACTCTCTTTCTGCCTTATTACTTAGACCACCTAGGCTACAATATTTTAAGGGAATGCTTATGTGTAGTCAATTTAAATAGAGGCAGAGAGAGGGAGAGCGAGAGAGGGAGAGAGAGATTATTTCTCCAATTTTTCCATTTATACATCAGAAGGGTAGGGAATGTCCCAAGAAGACACATAGCCCTATAAAGAGAAAAAAAATGTGTCCATTACTAATACATTAAATAAATTTTAGTGAAGAACAACAGTGGAAAATAATCTATATGCCTTGGCTCCTTTGCACTTTGACAAAGTTAATGATTAAAATCTACTAGAATTTCCACTACGGTATCCCAGGGCATCTATTTGCCTTGATTGATGATATTATTTTATCTCTTTTGGGCCAAGGATGACTGCCCCTTGCTTCTGTGTAGAGATTAATAATTGATCAGTTCATAGTCGTGAACCTTAGTAAAAGAGACCTGCCACTTCAGACGACCATCTTTCCGTGGTGACCTGCAAGAGGCAGGAGGGCGCCCGCCCACCAGCAGGAACATGAAGAGGGCCCTGGTCTTCCTGCTCGCTGCTGCCCTGGGGCAGGCCCTGGAGAGAGGTGAGGCTTCTTTCCTTGTGACTGTTTACAACACTTCTTACTAGTTCAATTTTCTGCTAGGACTTTAAAAGTGATATAAAAGTTATGCAACAAGAGTTTATAAATAGGGAGAGACAGAAAGATCAAAGAAGGATCAATCTCAGCTCAACAATGCCATAAAGTGTTGAACAGGAAGAGGCAAAAGATAAGAATCTCATGAAAGAAAGAAAATGAAATTACATAATTTGTCGATTATCCCTCCTCCTTTCTTGGTAAATAAGACCTGAAGAGAATGATTTGAAGTTAGAAGTGAGTCAATTGTTAAAAGATACCACAAATGAAGACTGATCCATCACAGTTTTAGGAATTCTGTAGACTGGGAACTTTCCAAAAATCTGTTCCAATTCGCTTTTCTGGCTGATTCTTTAATGTTTATAAGGGACTCTCTTCCTGGCTTACACATTTAAACTTCCTTTAGTATTGTCAGCTAACCGTCTCTCCTAACTCCTGCGTTAGAGTTCATATCAGTAATGCATTTAACCAATGGGATAAAATGCGCTCCCAGGAATTATCAGGTATTAACTCTAATATGAATAACCTTCCTCCTGACTCTTTAATTGTTTTACATTCACTTTTCATTGATCTTACTTTCTTCATTCAAATCATTTTAAATTTTGTCTTACCATCCACAGATTCTGAAGTAAGCTATGAGTTATTAGGTTAAGACTATGAAATCTTTCTAAGATAGAGGGAGGTATTAAAAAAAAAATACAATTGACTATGTCCCTTAAAAGATTTGTGAATAGGACAACTCCCAAGAAACTCTGAAATTTTACTTCTTTCCCAAAGTGTTGCTGGGGCAAATCTGATTCTGAAAACCCCAAACACAGCAGGATCTTTAAACTCAGAAGGTCCAAATGGCCAGGTCATGGGACTGTCTCAGAGGCCACAACCAGGAACATGAGTTGTCATCTCGTACTTCTGACTCAGCATGTGTACACTGGCTTCACCTCAAATTACAGGGTCCTTTGGAGAATAACAGAGGACTCTGCAATCTCTATTTCAACATCCCTGACAATCGTCAGACTCTGATGATATTGATATGCCAACACCTTATTTCCACCCCCGTGGAGATCTGAACTTCATTCCTATGACCCAGGTACCCTAGGTCAGATGATAATCTGGAGACATACAGAATACATGTTTATGCAGTAAACACTCAGTGTTTGGGGCAGTAGTCCTTATCTACCACTCCTCTATTCTATAGAACTTGAGCATGAGTATGACCCAAAGACCATGTCAGTAGTGGACCTAAAGGCTAGGCATGTTTTCTCTGGGCAGGAAGTTACAAAGTATATAAATTAA